CCTTTATTATTGGATGAGTAAAGATTGAGATTATAGAGGTATTATTTTATTCGGAATATTGAAAATTTTACTAATATTAAAGGTAGAGTATCAAAACTAACCAACTAAGCAAGAGCAGCGAGGCCTTTGGCTGTTGGATATCTAGTATTATTCATATCCGAAGTAATGTTGGATAAATATAAATGAAATAAATAAAATATATAACTGATATAATGAATGAATATAAATATAACCTACGAAAAATCATTATTTTTTTTAGGTATTTAATCCAGGTATTATCCTTTATCTGCGTGTTATCTGGGTATAAATATATCTAAGAATAGTACAGACATATGCATATATGGAGATATATTTTTGGTACTATTGTATGATTAGAAATGGAGATATATGGAGCCATAGAAAAAACAAGGTTTCTTTGCTGGGAATAGTATAAATGGAGAATGAAAAGTGTAAATATAATAATTATAAAAAAATGTAATAATACTTACAGTTATTTGTTATTTAGAAAAGCCATTATTTTTGCGGCTATATATAAAGATTTCATTTTTAAGAAATCTTAAATATTCCAAAAAAGATTATCCCATAAATCGCTCGCATTTCCTTAAATGGTATAGTTGAGGAGAGAGTGACTGAAAGAGACCATATAAGAAAATCATTATTTTTCACGTAATATATGAAATTTTTATCTTTAAAAAAACTTTCTTAAACATTTTTTGTTATAGTTTCTTGATCTCCCAATCCCCCATAAAACATTATACCCCAAAACCTCTGACACTCGCCAGTATACAAATACAAAACCCGGAAAACCCGGATGGAAAATTTTCACAAAAAAAAAAAAACAAAAAAGCAGAACAAAAAGTAAAATTTGATTGATGGCAGAAGAGTTTTTATTTTGTTATTTTTTTTGTTTTTTTTTTCTCACTGCACTCAACTTTGGACATATAGACTGGTAGCTGAGAAATATTTACTCATACCATAATATCCGATTTTCCATTTCCATTTGAGTAAGTTTTAGAAGAAGAAGAGGGTGGGGGTGGGGGTGTTGGGAAAGGGGATTTGGTAAATTTCATAACAAACAAACAAAAGTAAAAACAAACATTGAGTCAGTCAGTCAGAGTCACTGACAAAGTTCATTTCTCTAGTTCGTTTGTTTTGGATTTTTGGCTAATTGCAGCTGGAAATTATTTGGATTTACTTTTGGATTTTGATAAATTTGCCATTTCCATCGGAATGGATAAACACACACATCAGACATACACATACTACACACACCCTTTTCATACATCCCGAAAGAGTTATCTTTCTCGAACTTGCCATCTCTTTTCATTTTCATCTAGCTGTCTCTTTTTCAGTTAAAAAAAGCTACAAAAAAAAATTAACACCTCACGGTCCTCGGGAGGGCCATAAAAACTGATGCGGCGGCCACTGGCTGGGCAATTAACGAGCGTGGAACAACAACAGTGCCAACGAGATGTATATCAACATATACAGTACAGTGCGGTTCATCACATAAGTATATCATTTTCTTTATTTATTATCCAAGATTTAACAAGGGTGTTTAAGAGGAAAGAAGGACGTTTGGTAATTAAATACTATTTTTATTATACATTTTAATGAAAAAAAAACAAAAAACTTTCCCTAAAAAAATTTAAGCGAAATACTTAAAAAAATACTGTATATTTGAGTCTTGAAGTTATTTTGATTATAACATTTTTTTTATAATATTTTGAAACAAAATTTATACAGAATAGAGTTCTTAGGGTCGAAGAAAAGTGTTTTTTGAGACTTTTAGGCAATTTTATAAGAAATTTTTATGAAAATAAATTGAAAACAATTTTATAACAGTTGGGTTTGTTTTTAAAGTTTGAATACATACATTTTAATCATTTAAAAAAAAAATCTGGTCAATATTAAGTTTTTAGCGCTAGAAAGAAGGTTTTTTATAAATTTTTTTAAAAATTCAATTTTGTTTAATTTAGAAATTCCTTTAAAAAAAATGTAAAAATATTCAATTTCACCTTTTAATTTTAAAAGGTAATTTTAATTTTAAAGTAATTTTTTCACCTTTTGAAAATAAGTTTTAATAATTTTTGGAACATATATAAATATATCTTAAAACATAACAAAGTTCTCAATATAAAATCATTGTTGGGAAATTCTCTAAAGTTTTTATACAAAATTTACAAATCTTATAACCAAGCCTACGCAACCTGATTTACATAACCATAACGCACTGTACTCACATAGAAAAATGTAAATTTCCAGCCGAGCAAACGCAATTGGAAGCCACCCACTTGGATGTGGTTTCGGTGGCCATATAGACCCCTCACCCTCTTGCCTTATCCCCCGCCCCCACTAGTCCCCCCCCGCGAATCATGGGCTGTCTTGTGTCTATCCCTTTTTTTCCAGGGGGGGTTACGTCATTGAGGGACACGCAATGGCAAATGTTTGTATTTTTATTATTATCGTGTTATGCCATGTATTTGTTTGTTTGTTTGCTGGATTGTTGGATCTCCAAAAGAAAAGGGGTGGGGTGGAGATGGGCTAGTAGGGGGTGGTGAGTAGTGGGATGTTTGGAGGTGCTTTTGGGAAGGACTAAGGGCAAAGGACTTTCTCTTGAGGTGCGTCTAGGATTCTCTTTTTGGTACAAAGAAGCTTTAGTAATTTTGTTTCAAAAAATTATTTTAAAATGGGATTTAATGTTTAAATATTATATGTAATTTTTAGCCTTAAAATGATAAAGGACTTAGGATTAGTCCTGGTTTTGAATGTATTTTCTTTTCATTTTCTTTTAAATAAAATCTTAATTTTTTGTATATTTTATTGTAGAAATTTAGCTAAAGTTTTGACAACTAAAGTTTCAACTTCCAGCCCTCTGTTCTTTGATTGGGAATACCTTACGCACCCCTTGGCTTTACGATTTCCGCGTATCTGCCGCTTGGGTGATAAAGTTTCTTTCTTTTTTTTTATTTCCATGTCCTGCAGGGACAAAAAATGCTATATCCTTGTATGGATGATTTTGTTTTTGGTTGGAAACTATACTATAATAAAGATAAGATAAAAGAAGACCTTTGGTCATAAAAAAAGATGAGGTAATTAATGACCTAATAGTACTTTTTCTTTGCACTAGTTTTAAAAATTTATTCATTTTTGTAGTGTCGTGTCATGGGAAATCAATTTAATGGTTTTTATAATGAAATTAAAATAATAAATATATTATATAAAGAAGGTAAGTTCTTCCTAAATATTAATTAGTATTTCTTAATTCCTAAATACTTCCTTCCAATAATTCCTAAATATTTGTAGTTTTTGTCTAAATAGCTTGTTGTTTGTTTAAAATTCACTCTTTGTAATGTTTTTTGTTTAAAATTACTCTCTTTCTTTAACAAAGTTCTTTATTAAAATTCTTTAAAAAAATTTTAATAAAAAAATAGCACTTGTTCCTTTTTTTTTTAGATTTTGTGAGAATTTTTAAAGGAGATTCTTAAAGGTTGTAAGTTTATAGTATTATATAGTATTTTACATCACTATATAGTATTATAAAGTTATATATAGTATTAAATATTATTTCACAGCATTATATAGTTTCTTATAGTATTTTATAGTATTATAAGTATTAAAAATTGTTTTATGTATAATATTTGTATTATTTATATTAATTTATTTTTTTTAAAAACCAAGTTATTAAGTTAAAATTTCAATTTCTTATCCCTATGACCTTTTTGTAGAACCCCAAAAAGTCCCCCCTTCTGAACTTATTTTTTTTTATATCCCCTGGGATATTCCCCTCTGTGTAGTAATCAAGACTAAGGGGGGGTAGTGGTATAAATTTATCGCTAACTGCTTGGCTGATTGTCCCAGTTTTTGGTTCGACTTCGACTTTTCGCTACTTTCTGCCCTTTCCAATTCTTTTCTGTCTCTTATCTAAGAGCCATTGCCAGTTTCTGGTAATTGTCGAAGGCTTCTGCTTTTGCTTCCCTTCCCCTTTCTCTCTTTTTTTGGTTTTTTTTTTAAAACTGCTCCTTTATTTCTTTTTCTTCTTGTTTATCTTTCTTTTTTATTATCTCAACTATCGCTTCCTTTTTTTGGCCATTTTTTGTCGCGATTTTTCGCAAAGTTTCCAAAAAAAGAAAATCATTCATCTGCCAGTTGTGCTCCAATTTTTGGATTTCTTTCAGCGAGATGGTCCTGATGCTCTTGTACTTGTTGTTGTTGTTGTTGCTATTGTAAGTTCTTGCAGCTTTTAACACGCACACTAGCAAACACTTCAACACGCACACTACGAAACAGCACGCACAAATAGGCTCTCGCTCTTGGATCCCTCTCGCTCTTGGCTATGGTGAAAAGCTCTCTTAGTCTCTTACTCTCTCACAGGCTTGCTCTCTCCTGCGCCTTCGTCATCATTCCTTGTGAAGAGGGGTCGGTGTGTGGTGAATTTTTGGCGGCAATGGCATCTGTGCATCTGTGTGCGTTACATAAGTCCCCGTTATGAGTCGTAACTCACCACACCACACACACCAGAAATTCACCAGAGCGCCCATTGAGAATGTGTTACCAAAAAAGTTTTCAAACAAATCACACACATACAAACATGGTATGAGTTTCTAGCACACACATACACACCCACACACACTCGTGTATGGATGGAGGTGTACGTGTAGTTAGTCCCTTATAGAAGAACCGTAGAGTCCGTGCCGTAGTCAGCCGCATTCCGTATTCCAGTCGCTGATTTGACCGCCAAACAAACGCATCGCAGTTCTCGTCTTGACGGAAAAATACACGTTGCTTTTTAGCCAAAAAAAAAAATTCAAAAAAAAGAGAAAAAGTTACAAGAACAGGGCCAACCACGCGCTACTAACGGTCTCTAACAAAAACAACAACAAAAAATACAATAATAAATTCTTTAGAAAAAAAAATATAAACAAATTTTAATAAAAAAAATATAAAAAAATATTTTCTTATTTTTTTTGAAAGTTTTGTTTTGTTTTTGGAACGAAAAATATTTACAAAAAATAGTTAACAAAGTAAGAAAACAAAAGTGAAAAAAACAAAGATACAAAAAATTAATTACAAAAAAATTAACTAAAAAATAAATAAAACTGTTAAAAAAAAGCGAAACAAACAACATAAACAACAAACAAACTGGCGGGCAAACCAAAAAAAAAAACCAACCAGGGAGCTCCAGTGTTGATATTTTCATAGCATACTTTTATGAGCAAATAATTATTTAAGAAAAAAAATTAGGAACATTTTTGATTTAAATATTTAATATTTAAAAATAAAACCATGTTTTTTTTAAGCAAATCCGTTATGCTTACAAAACTTGACCCAAATTTGTATTTTTGCGGTCTTCAGTGTTAGACAGAGAGGCAGGGCAGCAAGAGACAGAGAGAGAGAGTGTGAGTGAGTGAGAAGGTGAGACAGACAGCGAGACAACGTGGAAGGATTATGTAAACAAAAATAAGTTGCACACCCCCTCCAGCAACCCAGCCGCGACTTAACCTCCAAGGACCTCGAAAAGGACCTCATTCATCAATGGTCGCAATCATCCTTCTCACCCACACAATTCCACCGTAATCACAAGTCCCTATTCCTTTGGCAGCCATTGCGTGTCATTTTCCATCTTTAATGCTAATACTAATACCCCCTTAGAGAGGGGGGAGAGTGGCAGCACCCCCTTCCTCCAAAAAATTCATTCCAATTTGCTTCAATTAAAGCCAGGTGCTTATAGATCTCTATCTTAAATTTTAAGGATATTTTCATGTAAAATCTCATAAGGGGGTGGCTCTATCTGATGGCTTTGAAATCTTTACCGTCTTAACGCCATCGTGCTCTGCGGAATTTCCATTGCCACTCGACTGCTCTTAGCCCGGCCTAATCCAATCGCCTCAAGGTGGAAGCCTGACATTTAGGCATGGCAACTTGGCCAAGTTGATTGCAATCCACCCATCTGTATCCTGGCCCTCCTCCTCGCTCCTCCTACCTTGCTCCCTTGGCTTTATCCTTCGCCGGTTCTCGAAGTCTTCTTCGAGTTTTGTGCATTGTTTGCATCGAAGTCCTTTTTTCTTTTTTTTCCCATTTTTTTTTTTTTTTGTCATTCATCGCTTTCGTCGCATTGCCAGGGGCGTTGTCGGATGGAGAGATGGAGGTGCCACAGGAGGCTGTAAAAATTAATTTACCACCTCCCCTGGCAGAAAGGGGGAGACTGACGGCTGTTTGGGCTGCGGCTTTTTTTCAGACTCTATTTTTTATGGCCATCTCCATCTTCATTTGCATTTTCTGCACTGCACTGCGCTGCTGCACCGTAAAAGTCAACAAAATTTTAAGATTTTCAACAATCTAATAATTCCCAGATTGCTTTTCCACACTTTTCTTTAATATTTTGGGGGGTAAACTCTTTCCTAAATTATGTGCATTTGTTAAATAAAAGCACTTTTATTTGCAAGTTGCTGGGAAAACATATTTCTTTGTGTTCTAAAGGCTTTAAATGTCTGAAAAACTTGAAAAAAAAATTGAAAAAAATATTTGAAAGGCTTTAGATTGAGAAAGATTTATTTACAAATCATGAAAGGTATTTTTTTATACAAATTGGATACATATCCACCAAGATATAGCCACTATATGAAGACTTATCCATGCATGGCAGTACTTTCCTCTTTTAGAAAAATATTAAAAAAGTTTCTGAAACATATTTTTTTGATAGATTTAGATACAGAATAATAGAGATTACATTAGTGGTATATCTAAAGATAGATACCCACTTAGAAATCGTAAGGAATTTGGACAAAATAAAGCCTTCACCATTCCCCACATTTTTTAAGAAAACCATCAGAAATTATGGAAAAAATTAAAAAAAAATGTCTATTCCCCGATTTTAATACAGAATGGTAGAAAATCAATTCACCAATCATTTAAGATATCCCACTTGAGAATCGGTTGGAAATTGACAAAGATATAGCTTCCCCTGTGGGTCATAAGAGACTGCCTTTATTCTTAAAGGGTACTCTCCTAAAAAATGGACAAAAAATTTAAAAATATTTGGTTTGCAGATTTTTAAATAAAGTGATAGAGAATCGCTCAATAAATAATTTACGATATTCCACTTAAGAATCGAATGAATATTCGCCAAGATATAGCCATTACAGTGTCCCTGTGTCCCTGTATTGAGATTACCTGTATTTTGCCCAAGAAATTTTAGAAAAAATCTGAAAAATATTCTTCTCTCAGGTTTTGATGTAGAATGATTGAGAATCAATATACAAATCGATAAAGGTACGCCGCGTGAGATTCGGAAAAAAAATGGCAAAGATATAGTCTCCCTAAGGGCTTACATAGGGATTTTTATAATTTTTGCGGACCCTCTAGAAAATTTGACAAAAAATTTAAAAAATATTCTGGGCTTAGGTTTTGATAAGGAATGATGGATAATCTATTTTGGTATCTTTTGAGGTATCCCCCTAAAGAATCGGTAGCATATTGGCAGAGTTAGAGCCTCCGGTAGAAATTTAGAAACCCCCCTAGAAATTTTGAAAAATATCTAAAAAAAATTTTTTTATATTTTTTTTTAAGGTTTTTATTCAGAATAATAGAGAATGACTCCCTAAATAATTAATGGATAAAAATTGGCCAAGATATAGCTTCCCTTAGGATTCATAAGGGGATGCCCTGTATATCGGAAGGGTACTTCCCAGAAATATGGGAAAAAAAATTTAAAAAAAATATTCTCCTTCCAGATTATTATCTTGAATGAGAGAGAAACGATCTAAAAATAATTAAAGTTATTCCGTTTATGAATCTGATGAATATAAGCCGAGATATAGACTTCTCTGAAATCCATACTGTTCTTTTTTTGAAGATACTTTCTCACCTTGAATTTCTTCCCATATATTTCTCTCTGTGCATTGCACCTCATGTTCGGGAATCGTTTACAATCCATTTAATTCGAATAACTTGGCTGCGTTTCATTTCGGGCTGGCCGTTTCATTCCATTCCGTTCCCACGCCCACTTTTTTAATTCCTTTCGCACTTTTGTTGGCAAGTGTTTTATTTTCGAGGATACCCTTTGGTGGGGGTGGTAGGTGGTGGGAGGGCTGTGAAAAAAGTGTTGCATGCTCGCGGGCTAAACGCGAGATGAACACGCAAGGATGCGGAGAAGCGAAGGACCAAAAACGGAGCAGATAAAAGGGCGGAGAAGGAGGAGGAGGGGGAGAAACAACAACTGCAGCATAAAAAATAAGCACAGGAGAGAAGAAGCAAAAATACAAAAAAAAAAAAAAAAAGAAGACACATTCAGACAGATAAACGAGTCGAGTTACAAGCCAAGACAGAGACAGAAACGAGGATGAGGGCGGGGGTGGACTTGGTGGTAAGAGATACTGTATCTTGTATCTGCATCCTTGTCCCTTTCGTGCCGTCTCACTCGTTGGCACTGCATTAGCATCCAGCTGTGAACGAAATAAACGTAAAAATATTTTTAGTGTGAACAAATTTCTGCTCGTTTCTCGTTGTAAAAATAAAAAAAAAAACAGAGACACACACCAAATGAAACACTGCGACAAATACAAAATACACACACCTGGCACCACCCCCACCCCCGCTTACTTATATATAGGACACCTGACATGATAACACCCACACCCACACCTATACACACCTGCACGGTTACAAACTGTGTTTAGTTAGCAAATGCCAATGGCTCATGGAGAGAAAAAGATGCACAGAGACGACACTCTCGTCGGCAACATTTACATTTACACACCGTAGCTGAGTGGGCGTGGGTGTGGGCGTGGGTAGGGGTATGGGTATGGAATGCACTGGCGTGTGCGACAGTTTTGTAAACAAACAAAGCCAACAGCAGCAACAAGAAATCCCCACGACTGGGGCCAGCATATCGACAGGGTCTCGGTAGAAAGCCAGGCTTTACATAATTTGTACAAAAAAAAAAAACCAAAAGAGTTTATTTCAAACGTGAATCGGGGTCACCATTGCTTTGTGCAAGTCTTCTAATCATTCTTATTGATTTCTTTATAATAAGGATATAAGGAAAGGGATTTTTGTATTAATAGGGCTGTTATTTTAATAGTTAAAGGTGATTTATAGAGAACTTGCCTACAAAAGGAAGTTTTTATGTAGAATCGGGGTCACCCTCTGAAGTAAAAGCATTAAGATCATACTAATAGCTTTTTTTATAGAAAATATATAGCTTTTGTATTCATAGCTATTATTTTAAGAGATGAAAGTTGTTTAAAAACATCTTTCTTACTAAAAAATTAAGTTTTGAACTAAAATCGGGGTCACCATTTCTTGTGAAAGTCATTAAATCAGACGTATGAGTTTTTTATAGAACAAATATGAGTTTTTTACTAATTGTGCTTAGTTTTTTAGCTAAAATGGATTTAAAAACAACAATTTTTATATAAAATCGGGGTTACCATTTTTGTATAAGTCTTCTAATTATATCTTTCAGCAAAGAAATACGTTTTGAATGTATTCAAAGCTCATTTGCAAAGTAACAACTGATTTAAAACCATTACCTACTCAAAAATATTTATTTCAAAAATAAAATCGGGGTCACCAACTACAAATTAAAGACCCAAAACTTTTCTAACCTTCCTGATTAGTAACCTTCCTTCCTTAAGAAATGCAAAAAATTTACTTTATAATTAATAAGAAGCCTCAGATTCTACTTACTTGTATGCCCCGACACTTAAAGCACCACTACACCTATTTAGATGACCCTTGAAATAGTGTCATTGTTTAAAACTGCATGACATAAATGTCCTTGACATAAATTCACACAAAAATCAAGTTTCTGAGTTGTTGTCGGCGACAAAAGCCAGGAAGAGATAAGCCCGGATTGCAACCGATGAACAGCAGCAGTTCCTTGGGAATCGAAATACGTGTGCGATGTGTGATGTGTCCTCCCCTCACATTCTTTTCATACTTCTTCACATATCTCTCTCTGTTTCTGTGTCTGTGTCTCATTGCTTTCTCCTTACCCACGCATTTCACTTTGGGGCATTGAATGTTTTTGATTTCGTTTCTGCACTTGATGCGAAATATTTTGCATACGACATCTCAGTGGGACTGCAACTGAAATTAACAGAATTTATTTCATTGCAATGGGTATGGGGTAGGGATATATATCCTGTCCCTCTGCTGGCGACAGAGATGGCTGTATATAGAGCCACTGAAAGAGACAGGAATAGTACAAAAAAAAAAAGAAACAAAGGCAACTTATTTTTATGCCATTCGCGTCAACCGCAGAAGGCAACAGAGAAAAAAACCACCCACACTTAACCCCTTCCGCCTTCCACACAGGGTTAAGTTTTTTATGCGCTTTTGTTTGCAGCCTCTCTCGGTCCTTTGTACGGGGACACCCCCTTTATTTTTTTTTTTGTTGCCAACTGTCATGAAAAGTTCGAGTCGAGAGTTGACCTGAAAAGTGTCGTTCCGTGTATTTTTATGCCTTATCCGCTGCTGCTGCATTTTTTTTTTTGGTATTTTTTCTGGTATAAAACGCTAATTGAACAGCCCTCCCCCCTCTATAGCTGACCACCATAAGTTTGATTGATGAGTCTCTGGCGGGCGACTCAATCCCCTATCCGATAAGGATCAAAAGTCTTTTGGAGTACTCCCCCCCCCAAAAAAAAGGAAAGTTTTAAGCAGTTTCGGGTTGGCAGAGGGGGGTAAAAACTTTTCATAAACTATCCACGACAGATATCGAAACATGGGCAAAACAAACTACAAAAAAAATATATACAAAAATATATATATTTAATATCAGCAAATGTGCTTTTGGGAACTTTGTCCATCTACTTGCCCTGCTTTGGCCTGTCCGGTTTTTTGCCATTTCATTTTTTTGTGCTCTTCTACAGGGGAAATTTTAAAGCATATTAAAATACTTATGAAAAAGTTTTGAAAACCGACAACAAAAAAATACATATACACATATATATATATAGCAAAATAGAAATAGAAAAAAAAATCAAAGTAAGATCCAGAAACTTTAGCAACGAAAGAAAAAACAAAAAAGTTTGCCACTAAAAAGCAATAATAGTCAATTGCAAAAATCAGAGAAGAGAAAAAATTAAATAACCAACGCCAACTCGAACTCGAACTCGAACTCGAGGAGCAGCAAAAGGAACAACATGGGAAAAAAGAGCTCCAAGTTGAAACAGGATACCATTGATCGCTTAACAACGGATACATACTGTAAGTAGAGTGAAATTACTTTGTGGTATTACTTTGGTAATAAGTGTTGGTATTTTTGAGACAAAAGTGCAGTGCGTTTTTGGTGGATTCATATTTTTAAGAAAAATTCATTAACAGTTTTTGGAAGAAAAGCGGAGGTACTGATATTTAAGATGGATTAATATTTATATGCGGTGTTTAATGAATAATTTTATGAAAAAAGGTGAAAAAGTACCAAGTATTATATATACATACAAGGCAATCAAGATTAATCCTGTACGTTTGTTGGTATTTTTTATAAAATACTGTGTGTTTTTGATAAATTACTATCTTTTTTGGAGGATTACTAAATATTTTCAGAATTTAATAAACAGATTTTGAAAAAATCAGTATTCTTCAGTAAAAATCCGTATTACATGATCTGTTTATTAGTTTTTATTACATCTAATACTTGTTATACTAAAAAAAGTATTAAATTAAATTATTACTATAAGAGAAGTGTTTTTCTGAAGATATTATTTTATTATATATGCTGAAAAAGTATTTTTAATCGGTATTTTATGAAAATACTTCACAAAAGAGGCTAAAATGTACCGGATATAAGATACTCGAGAGAAAAAAAGACTTTTAATATTCTATGTTGGTTGGTAATAATCAAAATTTCAGTATTAATAAAACAAAAATAGAGTCCTTTCTTTGAAAAATTATTATCTTTTTTGGTGAAGTATATCTGTATATCTATAAGTATTTGTATATCTACCACGTACTTCCCAAAAACCTTTCCAAGATAGTCGCAAAAGTACCTTATACCAAAAACCCTTCGTTATTTTGTTTATTTATTGGTATTTTCTATAATTTTTTGTATAATAAAAAGTATTCTAGTAAAAATATAATGCTTCTTTTAAATAATTGGCTAAATAAGTATTTTAAATAGGTATTTAATATAAATCCTTTACAAAAAAAGTACCATATATCAGGAAAATTGAGGAAAAAGCCTGATTTATCTAGTCTGGTTTTATTTATATTCCTGTAATCTCTCTAAAAACTCAACCGACAATTATGCCTTCAAAATACTCGATATTTATGAACAAAAATAAAGAAAAAATAGCAGAGGATTTTGTATTTAAGCCACGATTGGACTTCACTCTGATGCCCCCCAAAGCCAAATCAAACACTTTATTTAATACGAAATCCCACTTGTAATTTATAGTTTTTATTCAGCTTGGCAGCCATAAAAACCATTTCAATAAAAGCAACTATGTAATTGCACCGTTTAACCTGTTTTTTCCTCATTTCTCTACCCCTTTCTTTTTAATAAACTTACTACTATATCAATTCCATCGTCTATCTGTCTGTCTGACTGCCGGACTGTCTGGCTGGCTGGCTGGTTGGTATTTTATTATTTTTCCATTCATCCCAGATATGAATCCCACACAGATACCCCCTTCCTTCAGTGTGATTTACCTTGTAATAATTCCGTTTCCTTATTTATTTATTTGTTTGTTTTTCTCCCTGGCTGGCATTTATGCCAAAAGGGAAGGAGAACTTTTACCATTTTACCTCGATTGGCATTTTCTCATTTTGATTTGTTTTGTTTTCGTTGTTGCCGACTAGCAACAGAAACAGCACCAGCACCAGCAGCAGCATCAATCAAAATACGGAAAGGTGCAGACATCCTATGTAGCCAGCCCCCCTTCCACACGTATCTTTGTATCTTTCTATCTGCCAGATAAATGCATAATTCAAAAGTGTTTTCACAGAACTTATTCATCAACGACGAAATGTGTGTAAGTGTATGGCCAGAATAAAAATTGTGTAACTGACTCATCCGTCAAAATGAAGCCAATAAAGTCACTGAACATCTGAGCCAAAAGAAACTCTGGATTTGCTAAGATATGAAGTGGCAGAATATACATAGCTATTATATACATATATATTTTGTAATATCGAGGGATTTTTAAATGGAATTTTTATAATCGCTTGAAATATTTGTTATTCTTAAGGAGAGTTTGTTTAAGTTTTTTGATATTTAAGGGGAATTTAATTAAAGGGAGAGGTTGTTATAGAGAAGGTTATTATAGAGATATAATTTTTAAAGAAAAAAAGATTTATTAAGATTTATTATAGATTTATTATTATAGAACAAGATTTATTTATTATTTAATATAAGTATATTTAATATTAAGTCTCTAAACACATAAACGCCCTCTATAATATACACAACTTCGCTATTATCTCTTGAACTCTATTAAAATTCTCAAAATTCCCCTTTTAATTTAAACTAAAACCCTGCATAGCTTAATTTAAAGTGAAATTAAACTAATTATGTATATTAAGGGGGCCATTTTTAATAACTTTTATGAAGTACTATGGAGTGTTATTACCCCCTTTAAAGTATAACCCTATTTTATGACTCTGTTTTGCCTTTTAGATGTTTTGTTTTTTTTTATCGCAACCCCCCTTAGTTTTGAGGTGAGATAGCTTGGGGAAACTGTTTTACTGTTTGGTAGTTACCTTTACTGTTAGGTTTATCTTTACTGTTACCCTTAAAACCGTTACAGTTTTAGCTTTAAGTTTACAGTTAGGGTTTCCCCCAAAAAAATGTTTCAGAGTTACCTGTTGTTGTTTTGCCTTCCTTTCTTTCCTTTTTTCTCTTTTTTTTTTGGTAACTGTTACTATTAGTTACACCTTTTATTTTTATGACCACCTTTTCTCACCCTCTCCCTGTCCCTCTCTTTCTGAGACCCTCTTGCCTTATTTATCAGGAAATTCCTGAGCTGGTTTACCGTTAAGCAAGGCATTACATTTACTTAGCCAGTTCTTTTCCCGTTACCCGTTCTTCCCTTATCCCCGTTATCCCGTTACCCTCGTTTTCTGTTTTCTGGCCATTTTGGCTTCTTAAAAATGCAAGTCAGAAACTTTTCGAGAGTCTCCCCAAACTTTGTGACTAATTGCTTCGTTTTTTTTTTCTTTCTCTTTTTCTCCCTTTGCTTGTTTTATCCTTCGAGTATTTTCTTATTCTGTGGTCCAAGGATGTGCCAGGGGGGTCCTGGGTTATATAAATAATTACCGTTGGGCATTTGCGGGCCACCTGGAACGAGGAAGAGAAATGCCAAAAGAAAGTGTTGACAGATTGCTGCCAAAGTTTTCACCGTTTTTTAATGGCTTTTACTTTAACTTGTTTGTCTTTTCATTCTTCCCTCTCCCCTCTCCCCTCTCTACTCTCCCTTTAACCTTTTTAAATATGCAGCTCCAATAATTGTAATCCTCTCACAGTTCAGTTGCATGGCCCCTCTAGGCCTGGCTCAACAGCTGCTAACTTGGCCAAGACTGTTGTTTGGCCAGGCAAAACAAATGAATCGGCTAAGGACTCAATTTATTGGCAAAACGGGAGCCAGCGGGCCAACGGGCAACGGGTCGTATGAGCAATTTCTGCTGGCCTGGGTCAATATTTGTCCTGTCCATTGACATGCCAATCAATTGGACATTAAACTTGGCCCAAACCATCCTCCCAAACTAGCCAGCTACTGCTGCCATTCGAATAAATAAATAAACAGACACATAGGTTTGATTAGGCCCGGGCTCGAGTTACAGTCCTTCCTTCAATAAAATGCAAATCCCTCAAAGTGTTGCATTTTGGGAGCCAGGATTTTGGGGATTTCTCATCCAGGGACTATATACGGGACGGGGTCTATTACCATACAACAATGGCCTGAAACGAAATACCCGAAATTGTGGCCATGGAATTAGCAATTTTAATTGCAAATGGCATGGTTTTTTGGGGTTTATTTTTAGGTGTTTTTAGGGTAGTTTGGGTTAGTTTTAGGGAGAAGTGCTTTTAAAATGAGAGTAGGATGTAGAAAAATAGTATGATCTAGGTTATTTATAGACTTTTAGGCTTTAAGGAATTTAAAATAAGACTGCAGTCTAGAAAAGCAACGAATTTAAATTTCACTGTTTTTTGTAAATAAATATTTTTAATATTCATGATTTAGCTTTATATATTACAGTTTTATTTTAAAATATTAAATCTTAATAAGTTCCAAGTTAGAATAGTATTTTTTTCTTTTAATTTTCGTTCAAAACTAAGCCCCAAAAAATGTTCTCATTATATGTATCTTTTATATACCATATTTTCTTTAAATCTTTATATTTTTTTTTATACTTTTCCTTACATTTTATAAACCAAAATACCAAATCCCCATAATCCCAAACACATGCCAAAAATAGGTATTATTTTCAAAGAAAAACTTTGTGTATTTAAACAGGAGAATTAAAAAAGAAAAGTCTGTGCCTTTGGGGCTGGTATCAAAAAAAAACAAACTAGATTATGATTTTAAGCCGATTTAGAAAATCCGCTTTACGAAAAAAGCTTTGCCAAATAATATATAACAATAAATGAATAAAAATATGCATTTAAGCTTAAATATTTAAGCCTATTTGTTACTGTCTTTTTTTAAATAAAAATATATATTCTTGGTGTATTTACTGACCATGGAAATAAATCAAACAATTCCATTTCGAAGAAATTCCATTAATTCGAGCATTTAAATCGACATCTGAAATATGCATTTTATTTTTGTTCTGGAATTGCAACGATTGTGAAATGAAATATTTGCATGTGCACCTTCCGGAGGGGTGGCAGGGTGTGGCACAACGGAATGAATATGTTATACATGGTCATCAAGGGTTAAGATAGCAAGAGGGTTAAGCGGACGAGAGACGTCTTTCCTGATCCGCAATTTTCCATCCCAACTCGGAACTGACAGAGTGACTTTTGCTATTTTTGGATGAATGGCAACCCCTTTTTTTTTTTTTGTACATGGGCATGACAATGCAATTTGAGTAGGGAGAGGGGTGGGGTGGGTGAGAGGTGCACAGGCAAGGCAACACTTGAAAGGCAACAAGTCGTATGAGCAATATGCGCTTTATTTACAATCAATACAGGCAACTCTGGCAACTGAGGGGCAACACAACAAAGTGCCACAAAAAAAAAAAAAATGAGAAAAGAAACGCACACAAAGCTGGCCCGTAAATGCCGTTATATTTTTACATGCCATACGTCAGAGGCGGCATCGGATAAAGGGGGGTCTTTTGGGGTAGTAGGGGGGTATTATTGTCTGTCTGTTAGCCTGGCTATCGATTACCAATCAATTCAACTCCTCCTGCTTCTGCTTCAGCTGGTGGTAATGCTGCCTCTGGCAATTGTTGACTTCATTGGATTGACATTCCCTTTGGGATAGCCATGGTTGGAGTCTGCAAAGGGGGTGGTGCCCACTCACCCACTAACTGACTGAAATAGCTCTTCTATATGCGGCTAATTAAAATGCAAATGTTGCTTTGCTTTTTTTTCACGCCAGTCAGCTAATCAAAATGAAAAATGAATCCTTGTGGGTTTATTATTTCAGGGGGGGATACAAAGTATGGGAAATATGCAAAATATATACAATGTATAGCATACTCATTGGTCCATATGAGGTTCGAAACAAAAAAGAAGTACTGTTTTTAAAAGTCTCCGGTTTAAAACCTTTAAAAAATTTATATTTATCATGAAATTGGCTCAGGGTACACTTTTCATTAGAAGACTTTAGATTTTTATTTTAAAATATATTTTTAGTCGATAATTTTCCCAAAAAAAAGTTATATCCAGAACAATCCCAAATTTTCCAACCTTTTCTACAATTATTTTGTATTAGATCATGTATAATTTAAAACTTTTTACTATTCTAGGACTTAGAATCCCCAAAATAGACGTTTTTCTAAAAATATTCATACCAGATACTTTGAGCACTAATGAGCACTAGAATTTTACTTAATTATATTGAAAATTATCAAAATAAATAAAAATCTAATACTTTGTTATTTTTTCTATTTCTGTAGTATTTTTTTTTCTGTTTTCCAGTTATTTTTTACAATCATTATTTTTTGTCACCTAATTTTTATGTTCTTTAATAAAAAAACCTATGGGTAGGTACCTTTCCATACCAATACCCTTTCCAAAAATTTTATTATTCTGTTATTATTTATTCTTGTTTTAAATATTATTATTCTTTTTTAAATATTCTATAGAATTTCCGTAAAACTAGAGAATATTTTATAGTTCTGATTGAAAAGAAACCCATTTTATTGGGGTTTAAATAAATTTAAGACCAAATTTAGAGCTTCTAAAACTTTTAAAAATTAAAGTAACAATAAAAATATCTCTTATATAGATTTTTCTCGGTGTATAACCTCAGATGATATATGAACCGATGCATTTTGAATAAAGCCAATGGCCTGAGACTCCCGTTCTTCCAGCTTCTCTGATGCTCCAACTCTCCCGTCCCCATTCCCCGGGGGGACAGTGAATGGTGTCATGCCTCCCACCACCTCCTCTCCAAATTGTTGGCCATTGACCACCAAAGAGGCACTGCCCCTCCACTGCCCCACCACTCCCCACCACCTCTCAAAAGCAATTCCAATGTGTGTAATTTTGCGTGAATTTATGTTTTTATTATTTTTGTTGGTGTTACTGTTTTTCTGGTCAGTGTCCTTTTTTGGGGCTCTCGAGAACATGTGGAACATTCACACGGATCCTGGGCCGGGTGTAAGGACTCCCCAGAGGGGCGTCACTGGAGGGCAGGGGACCACGTTTAAACGTTTGGTAAGCGGCCATTAGGCCAAAGGCAATAAAAAAAAAGGAAAAAAAAATGGAGCATTTTATGCTTCAACAGAAAAACAAAGAAAAATTGTTAAACAAAGAAAAGAGATAGTTGAAAAATTATGGGGAAAACTAGAAAGAGAAAGGAAGATATAAATAGAGAGAGAGAGGGCTACAAATAATAATAAATCCTGGGCGTGGCTACAAAAGACAATGAAAGATAATTTAGAAATCGAACTCTAGAACTCATTCAGGTTTCGAGTTCGAGTTCGAAATTTGCATGAAATATCAGAAAGAGATGGATAAACTAAAAGAGACAGAAATAGACAGGAAGAGTGATGGAGTGGTTTTCCTCTTTTATTTTCGGTTCTCCCTTAATCGAACGCCAATCAATAATGAAATGAATAATTCACCATCGATAATTTCATTAGTTTTCCCCCAGAACGAATTTCATTTCAAATGCCGATGCCTCCAGCTATTTCTTAATTTTATTTTTTCCCCTAAAAACTAAACAAAAATGTGTGTAATTGAAATGGGTATTAAAAAGAGCTTAAATAGTCTTATAAGCTTTATGGTTAAAAACATTCCACCAAAAACGCACTGTATAGAAAATAAAATTAGAAACAGAAACAGAAAATGTGTTTCTGTGCAATTAAGCTGAATTGTAGTATTGTAGCTTTATTATTGGCATAAATATTTCTGCAATACCATCACGAAAATAATCCACTCGCACCTTGTAAATATTTCAAAATAGCGCATCAAAATTTAATCCACTTCGATTTCTCTGTTTTTGTTTTTTTTCGTTTTCAGTCACAGAGAAAGAAATACGTCAATGGTAAGTTTAGCCCTACCATGGCTTATGGTATCAACTATTTTTAATGAAATACATTTTTCAAAAAAAAAACCAAATCCAACAAAAAGGCACAAAGGATTCCTGAAAGACTGTCCCAATGGTCTGCTCACAGAGCAGGTAAGTAAATACATATATCTGTATCCTTCATCCTTTGGAGGAGGATGTTAAGGATAAATATTATCCAACTTGTGCGTGTGTTTGTGCCTCCACCTGAGCGTGGCCAATTCGTTCAAGTCAAACGGTTAATTAAGTTAATTTTCCGCCATTCACAAAGCCTCCCAGCCTCCCAGTCTTCCCCCTAAACTCGATTTATGGAAGCTAATTCTACGACAACAACAACAACAATAATATAAGCCGTAGGCAGAAGGCTTCTTAGAGTCCTTTCTAGGGATGACACTCTTTTTGGGGATGTTCTTAGGGAAATTCGATTACTTTTTGGCCATCTTTGCCGCGAAGAAGTCTTCTTAAAAAATCAAATTCACAAGAAATCAAGAAGCTCCCTACTTTAAAATATCGGTTAACCCATCATCCATAAAACTAAACCGTTTTGGTCACACTAAAATGTATTTTTCAATGAAAATACTTTAATTAAAGCCCATTACTTTAACTAACTGTTGGCTCATCCCTAATATTCTCGGCCCAATACAAATGAGTGGGTGGTCTCCGCCCCGAAAAGAGTGTGTGGGCGGTGGGTTATTGCCAAATGTGTTGACGACCCGGCCTGCTAATGACACTGCCTTTGTTGTTGTAGCTCTTTTTGTTGTTGTTGTTGTTGGTTCTGGGGCTGTCGTCGTCGGCTGTCGTTGATAATGAAATTTATTAATGCGAGCATTATTCAAACACAAACGCAAACACATGTGTGCCACGCCTCTAATTGATTCATCTACATTTGTAAACCTTGTCCTTTATCTCTCTCTTTCTCTTTCACTATATATATATTTCTTTTATAATTTATAGGGCTTCATCAAAATCTACAAACAATTCTTTCCACAAGGCGATCCAAGTAAATTCGCTTCGCTGGTCTTTCGTGTCTTCGATGAGAATAATGTGAGTATCAAAAGCCCAGATAGAGAAACACACACACACACATACAGAAAAAAGGGTGTTGGCCACGCCCCTTAAACTTTAAAATTTTTGCCCCTTCCTTTTTAGCCATTTTTATGATTATTTTAGTATTTTTTTTTTGGCAGAAAACTTTACTCAAGCCACAAAATAAACTGATTTTGGCAGGTTAATGTCCTGGCGTTTTTACAGGATGGGTGATCATAAATTTCATGCTGCTTTTGTTGGTTTTTGTTGCCTTTTTTTGTTTTTTTGTTTTTTTTTTAGCAGTTATTATTTATGGCCCATGGGCGTGGCCAAGTGTCCTCCATTGCCCTCCTCCTACCTCCCACCATCTCACTCACCCTAGTCTTTACACAAAATGTCAACTGTCTGATGTCTGCACTGATTTGCTTTCTTTGTCTCCATGTCTCTTTCTCTCTATCTATCTCTTTCTTTGTGTGGGTGTGTGTCTTCCCTACTTCTCTTTCTTCTCTCGTCTCTCCCCTTCTCTTTCTGGTTTATCTACCTCGTCTGCAGGACGGCTCCATTGAGTTCGAGGAGTTCATACGCGCCTTATCCGTCACATCGAAGGGCAACCTGGACGAAAAACTGCAATGTAAGTCTTCTCCTAATCCATCAACTGTCACAACAAACTTTAATATTTTTATAGTTTTTTTTTTTTTAAATTTACACACATTTTAAAGATGTAAAGGGATTATATTTCAAAGAATGAGAAAGTATATTTCTTTAAAGTGTATTTTTGGTATAATTTTTTCTATTTTTTTGTTGAGTGAGAGGTTCGAAATGGTTCTTGAATTCAAAGAAATATTTTGTATTTTTTTTTTTGATTTCTTAGGGGCCTTCCGTCTCTATGATGTGGACAATGATGGATATATAACGCGAGAGGAGATGTATAACATAGTGGATGCAATCTATCAGATGGTGGTAAGTATAAAAAAAATACCAAAAAAAAAAGTACTAAGAAGTGATACAAAAATAATACCAAACAGTGTCAATAAAATTATAATACTGAATAATTCTCAAAAAAAGCTTAAAAATATAACTAACAAGCAATAAATAATAATATTAAATACTTATAGAACAAAAAATCACTGAATAATACTGAGCAAAACTAAATATAATAATAATAAAAAGTAAGAAATAATACCAATCAAAATTAACAATAAATAATATTGAATGTTAAATATTTCCAAATAATACAAAATTATTTAACATAATAATATCATAATACTTCCAAAACAAAATAATACTGAACAATACTGAATAAAAGTCAATAGTTACGACTAAGAAATAATACGAAAGAATAACAACAAAACTAATAACGAAAAATACTAAATGATTTAAAATTAAAATAAATTAATAATGCGTAGTAAAGGAATAAAAAACAGAAAAATACTGAATAATTCTAAAAAAAATACTGCATTTTGCTAAATAATACCACTAAAAATTAGTATTAATAGTCGAAATAAAACTTTTTTGAATACTCTATACTAAAGTTTAATTACCAAATATATCTACATAAATAGTTACTATATCTAAAATCCATTAAAATATACCCATTTCTAATACTCTCTTTCCCTCTCTTTCTTTATCCCTATCACCCATCTCTCTCTCTAACAGGGACAACAACCGCAATCGGAGGACGAGAACACGCCACAGAAACGCGTCGACAAGATCTTCGATCAAATGGACAAAAACCACGACGGAAAATTAACATTAGAAGAATTTCGTGAGGGTAGTAAAGCTGATCCACGTATAGTTCAGGCGTTAAGTTTAGGTGGTGGTTAAAAACCGATTAACAAATGCCCGATTACCGATAACAGACCCAAAACAAACAAACAAAAATAAAGCGCGCAATAAACCAAAGTCAAAGACAAATTTTTGATCCAAAAACTTAAACAAAAAAAAAAATTAAAAACAAAAATAATACTTTGAGGAGAATAAAATATTTCCCTCAAATTTTCTTGAAAAACTCAACAACTATCTCTTCTCTCTACGCTTTTCTCGATTCCCCAGATTTTCGATTCTCGATTCTCCGCGCGTCGATTGCGACACTGAAGATGATAATAATTTTTTGATATATGCGATAACGATAACGATAACGATAACAAGAGTAACGAGTAACTAAAACGAGAAGAAATATTTCAAAGAAGAAGAAGAAAACGAATATGAGATTAATTTTTAAATATACACCAGATTATATAATTATATAGGAAATCGTGGCGTAGTCAGAAGCGCAGTTCATAGCAATAAATGAAAGAAAAATAAATTAATTATTTAAATAAATTAAAAAAAAAAAAACAAATCGAAAAACAAATCGAAATGCGTGAAGCGCAAATCAATTTTTGAAACATACACCAATTACGAGTAAAAAAAATCTACGAATAAATCAGCATAATTATACTATACAATTAAACGAACAAAAAATGAAAAAAAAACGAAAAATTACAATTTAGAGCCGAGAACTAAGCCTACGAATCAATTGCGCAGCGCAGCCTTTGGCCCAACTCGAATCATCAGCCAACTATATATATATCCACACTTGATATATAGTATATAAACGATATATATATATATAGAGAAACATCAGAGGGGGTCTGTTTTTTTTTTTTCTACGGGGAGGGACTAGCTGGTCTCTAAGGACTTTCATGACAAGTCTTTCTCAGTTTCCAGGTCCCAAGTTGAGTTTTCCTTTATTGCCTTATAGCCATGAAACGCAGCTTTCATCTTCTGTAAAGCTGGAAACATATTTGCTTATTGATTTGTCCTTCTTTTTTTTGTATCTAAAATCTAAGTCTAGCTCTCCAGTCTCTTTCTAAGCTTCTATTGCTCTCTCTCTCTCTATATATACTATATTCTATATATCTCTCTCTCTTTGTCTATCTCTATCTATCTCTGTCTCAGTTTATCTGTATTTCCTGCTTTGCCTTGTTTTGCGTTAAGCGTTCTAACAACAACAACAAAACAATTACAAAATTAAACAAAAAAACAACACGAACAAACATTTATGCGATATATATCGATAGGCAGAGCAGAGCAGGATTCCAAGGATAACGAGAAGGATAATTTTGATTGTTTTTTTTTTTCAAACAAAAACAACAGCAGTGCCCCCCCAGTTATAGCTGCGGAATAAAGTCGCTAATAAATAAAAAAAAAAAAAAAGAAAAACCAATCAAAGAACGCACAGCAGAACTACAGTTATAAACTAACTCCCCTCCCCCCCATCATCATGGAGAAACCACAACAGTAAACATCCAACAGTAAACATATACAGAAAGGATTCAGGATGGGATGAGCAGTCTAGAGAAAATATATATATATATATATATATATAACCAAGAAAACAAATCCATCATACGATTTAATTTCTATTCTATATGCGGTTCAGCTTTATTATTGCATTGATTTTTCTATAAAATACCAATCAACTACCGTTTTTTACTATTCCGATAACAAACATCTATATAATAGTATTATATATATAGTAGAATCCACCCGCTTGCTCACAATCAGTTAACATTTGTAAGATCAAAAAAGAAGGTCACATTCGCAGACACCGATTTATACCCAGAATACCCCATATACCACCATATACATATACTTGTATCTTTTATCGATAGATTAGTGATAGACCAGATATAGGTCGATAAACGATCTTGAAGATCTGGTCTGTCATTAGTTTCTTTATGTAGCTGCCTTAGTAGAAATTTTCCTTTCCTTTTTCCTGATTTTCGCCTGCTTTCTTGCTATCTTGATCTGAACTTTTATCGATAAAATTATTCGATTTATTTTTGTAACCAAACTCTAATCGATAATTCTACTTCTTTGGTTTATGTTTTTCTATGCTTTCTGTGTCTTTTGGTTGAAGCACCTTAAAAAAATATAAAAAAAAAAAATCACGATGAAAAATTTTCAAAAATTAAATATAAAAATTAAAAAAATTGCCATGCAAGCCCCCCTGCACACACACACACACTGCGACACATAACTACTTGTATGTGTATATAAATATATGCCTAAACCTCTACACATATGCCCTATATACATCAAAACATATATATATATATAACTATATAGTAAGCACTGCAATCGAAAGCAAGTTAAGGAACTACGAATATAACTACGAATACCAAAAAACGCTTCTATAAACCTCACTGAAATTCTTCAAAGAAACCATTAACACACACACACACTTTCTTTCACTCACACATACATACAAAAACATAACACATCTATATATATATAAATATATATAAAGATATATATTAACAATAAACGTAATGCGAAAACTTAATCAATAATTAAATAATTCGAAAGTGATATAGCTGACAAAACAAATGTGTCTCTTGTAGTCTAGTAGTTAAAAACAAATATTATGAATAATATTTAAAAGAAAACAAAAAAAACAAACAAACATTGTATGACAGAAGAAGATTTTCGAAATAACGGGAAAAATGCAAAAATAACAAAAATGTTCACCCCAAAGTGTGTGTTGTTTTTTTTTTGTATTTTTTTGTAAGGACGCGTCGTAACGGTTAAAAGCGAAAAAAACAAAACTGTAAATAACACGAAGTGAATCACGCACACCACTAACCAACAAAAAAAAACACACTCACCCACACACAACCGTACTCTCACACTCACACCCAACCATACACTGAGAAAATGAAATACCGTATAAGTTTGTTAAACACCAAAGAAGAAGATGATGATTAATAACGGGTCTTAAGTAATAAAAAAAAGAAAAAAAAAAATTTATAGCAAAGGATTTTTTTTCTCTGTGTATTGAATTGAATAAAGAAAAGGGTTTTTTTTTGTGGAAAGAATCAAGTCAATTGTAATAGCCGAAGAAAAGAAAAATAATAATAATAATAATTATAAAATATTTATATTGATTTACAATACAAAAAAAAAAAATAAGAAAAAAAGGTGAGAGAGGCAAGGACCTTCTAAAGGAAGGACTAGATCAAATGGTTGATGATCCACATCTTGTAATTCGATCACAGATGAGAGTTTCTTTCCACCGCCACCGTTGACAAACCACACGAATGTCAAGTTAAACGTTTCACAAGCAATATTTTACATACTTATACATGCATTATATATACATATATATACACACCTATATATATATAGGCCATATATATATGATAAATATATATAATAATAATAATAATAAATATACGATAATAAATATATATTATACATCAACTTATATACACACGATCCGCAATAATGAGTCAACAACGGCAGACTTAGAAAACTAAAAAAAACCAAGAAAACAGAACAGAAAAATATTGCATGGCAGATAAATATTAAACAAAAATACTTAAGTAATGAAAGAAAAATACTGGGGATACTGGATAAAGAATTAACAATATTTTTAGTGATATTCTTTAGCAAACTTGAATCTGATTTCTTTGCTAAAATAAAAAAAAAACCAACCAAAAATGAAACCGAAATGTAAAAAGTCAAGAGAAAGTCAAGAAATAATTGATAAAAAAAATATTAAAAAAAAAAAGAAATTTAAGGCAACGTGCGTATATTTTACAACTAAAAAAAACATTATGGCACAGCTAGAAAATAAATTCAAAATTTTTGTCCAACCATATAACTCCATGACTCGATTCCATTTCGTTTGTTCGAAAAATTCAAGAAAACAACTCATCGATTAATATTATTATTACGATTATTCCGATTATTGTTATTATTATTATCGATTGCATAACAAAACCTTACAAAAGAACATAAGAGAGGTTTTGAAAAAAAAACAAAAACAAAATGACACAAAAGAAAAAATTTATAGAAGAAAAAAAATGAAAATCAAATTCTTTTACGAAAAGAAATGAAAATATTTAATTAATTTTTTTTTTAAGTAATCGCCTATTGGGGGAATGGAAAATTTATCTTGTTACTGTCAAAAAAATATTACTTACTTCAAATAAAAATTTTAAAGCGAGCATATTCGGTTGCCCCCTATTGTTTACTGTGTGCTGAATTATCAATTCTTAATGCCAAGGTGAGTTCCGAGTATTATACCCATGTGATGTGAAAGTTTCGACTTAATTGTCGGATAAGGCGGGGAGGGTGTGTGCCGTTTTGTCTAATGGCCATTAACTGTTACGGTTAATGGTGAAGGGTCCCCCATGGCGTATACGCAATCAACGTGGACAGCTACACGGGGATTACATGGAGATCTCGACCGAAAAGCGTAATATATCCGGAGCTATTACTATTACCCAACTCCTCCGACCTGCGTAAGTACATAAATATATGTATATAAATGTGTAATATGTGTGTGCTTTTTACCAGCCAAGTGGAGGGGAGGGGATATCTATACTTATGTTTGCTTGCCCAAAGCCAACACTGGGAGATGGTCAAGCTGACATGTTAACAGAATTTGTAACAACTGTTAAGGGGGGGGTTCAACTTTATTTGCCAGATTGATGATGTTCGGTACTTGAAACTAATTGATGTGCCGGCATGGGCATGTTTGCTTGATTTGAGGGGATATCGGCATTTTATTTAAATACTTAAGGCTGTTGGCTGCCATTTAGTCTTTTTAAGGAAGGGATATTTTATATGTAAGAACAAGCTTGAATAGGTTTAAACATGATAAGACATGTTAGATTCTCAAGCGGTAAACTTTAGACGATTCGTAGATCGATTTTCCGCAATTCTGCATTAAAATTAGGGATGTCGAATTTTTTAAAATTATCGTATCGATAATATTTTCTGTTTTAAAAAAATATCAAAATGATATAAATATATATCGCTACAAAAAATCGATATATCGATGTTTTTGATATTTTTTTTAGTTTCCTAAAAAGTTTTTTAGAATATAAAATAATAGAAATAAAACACAGAAATTATTATTGCTGTTTAGTTTTTCTCATCTTTAGTTTTTTAAATCCATAAACATAACATTTGAAAATCATAAAGAAAAATATAACATAAAGAAAAATATAACATAAAGAAAAATAATATTCTATTTCATTATAGTCTTTGCCTGAGATTCGAGTTCTATTCATAAAAATAACATAAAATTTATCTTAAATTAAATTCAAAGTTCTTATATAATAAAAAATAAGGAGATTGTATTCCATTATACAGTCTTGGTCTTGTATAAAGTTAGTGCCAATATTTGGCATTAATAGACTTTAAAAATACCCGTTGCGTTATGTGATTATCAGTCATTCGACTCCTTGAATCACAAACGACGCATTTTATAGCCGAAGCCAGTCTCTCCGAAGGCACTGAACTCCCAGGTGTAATTAGGTATTTCCGGGCGAGTTGATATAATCCTGGCATAGCCACCTTGTGTGCATTCCAAAATGTTAGGGGATTACTTTCCCATGATGTTTGGGGCAAACTGAGATATAATTTTAGCTCGCTGTGATCAGAGTTTTGCAAGGAAAGGCCCTTTAAAATTGACCTATTGTGGGCCTCCATAAAATCGACACACTGTTCCTCTGCATTGTCATCAGAAATCTGTAATAATTTAAAGGAAATTAATATATACTTTATTTTTGCTTCGGAATAATAAATAAATTATTAATGAATTAATTACGTTGAGTTATTATTATTATTAATGTAAATGTAAGTATTACTATTAAATTATATACATGATTACGAACTCTAAAATTTGACATACCGGGGTTTCCTTTGAAAAGGTAGAAATTTCGTTCAACAAATCATTTGTTGCCTCCTGTACCCCGATGGGTGATATGTACATTTTTTTAAATCTTGGATCAAGAAAAGATGATTTCACCAATATTTTATTTGATTCAAGTGTAAATTTTATTTTACAGTGTAGTGTAGATTTTATTTCGTGTGTGTGAAATTTTGCGACATTTTACTGCGAAATCTACATTTTTTTTCACACACACGAAATAAAATCTACACCTTCATGGTAAAATGGCGCCAAATTTCGGCGTCATGTTGTACACATAAATATATATATTAGCGGTGCCCACACAAATACATTTACATATGTGCACAATTATACTGCGAATTTCTTTTCACACACACAAAAACACTGAAAAGAAAACGCTATTTTATATATAAATTTATTAATATGTACAAACCTTTTTTTGCTGACACTTTAAAAAAAATTCGTTATGTTTATTTTTAACATGTGACGTCAAATTTGTGGTGTTTCC